ATAATTTATGTAAATATTTATTTAAATTTCTGTCTTATTCCTATGCCACTGCGTTAGGTTGACTGGAAGAAATCTCTTTTAGAGATAAGTTCGCCTTTGCTAACATTGTTATTAATTTAGTGTTGTTACTGTATGTTTTTGTGCAATAAAGAATATATATATATATATATATATATATATATATATATATATATATATATATATATATATATATATTCTATTTTGAGTTAAGAAAGTTTACTATCGCGTATTTTACATAATCATACATCGCATCTCCAAACTAAACCCATTATGTACACAAAATAGTTCAAATACAAATATAAACATAAAAAGGTTTTTTTTTTTTAATTAATGATTTTTAATTGAATAGATCTGATTGAATCATTTTTGTGTAAATTCTTATTCATTTTAACGACCGTTAAAATTACTGACAACTTTGGTCGATGTTAAAATTATTAATTCCTGTTAAAAAATAAGCCCTATTTTGGTGTCCTTCAAGAAGGGCTTAAGTAATAAGATTTCTACAGGGTCGGCAACGCGTGTAATAAAATTTCTTTAGGCACTCTCTTATAAAGAAACTCCTCTCGTTTATAAACTACGGTAAGCGTTTATCATCTGCCGGGTTTGGTGAGTACAGTATGTACGATTATCAGATAATAGTATTCCCAATTTTAATTTTAAAAGACATTTATTCACATATTATTATCGTTATGTAAGTACCAATTTACCAACAACTGAATTGTATCCATTTAGATACATATAGAATTCACATCTAAGGACAATAAAGCAGGCCATAAATCGTCTGTCTAAATGTCTAGACCTTTCAGTCCCTTTATGGACCAAAGTCGGGTTCGTGCTCGATAAATACTAATTCGCTTGAGGTGTTAAATAAATGTTCTTGAAAATGGCTTATTCACATGTCCTACTGGTTAACTGAAGGTACGGGTTATTTAATATTAAATAGGTAATTTATATCGGTTATATTGTCTTTGGTTGGTTGAAGCTATCTATTCACAGTCTCCCTACATAAATTGAACATTGGCAATTCTATTAACATAATATTTACAAATTTAAATATACACATTATTTGAGACACACACACACACACACATACTTATTTGAAAATTGTTATTGTTGGAATATACAGTCTTTATAATATATATAAAGATTATGATAGTGTAGTGGTTTAATACATGGCCAATAGTCGCGGCTTCGATCACCCAAAGCACTTGTTTTCATGAGTACGTCTATTTGTTCTCCATTCCATAGCTTTGATAGTTTGAGATTAGATGATGCTGTATGATATGTGGTGATTTTTATTTATATATTTATTTGTTTAACAGAACTATGAATTTTCGTATTATATTCTTGCATACTAAATAATCTGTTTGAATTTAACACTTGAAATAATGATGATAGGCACTCGGTAAATTGTATAGAATTAGGGCAATGTATATTGGTATTCTCTATCAGTCATCTGTAGTGCATTGAAATAACTGTTAATACAGTAATAGTAACGTATATGTAGGCGTCAAGTCTGTCTTTCATCGGGGTAAGTAGAACGATAGAAACAATGGAACGCCAAATGCTCCGATTCGAACGGACCTCTATCGTCTTTTCCTCATTTATCAATATATTCATAGAAGTTAATTTAATACAAATATAAAAAACCACAAATATTAAGGCTTAATTATTTATTAACGAGCATCAACAATACATGTATAAATACATAAAAAAATCTATACAAAATTTGATCCGATACAAGTACCTATAAACGGCGAACACAGCATTTAGAATGTAACCGACGTACTTTAACTACTGACAATAATCAAGACAAAGAATAAAATAGAGAACATTTATTGCCAGAAAAACACAATTACAACAGAAAATACATATATAAGATGTGTCTCATATTAGGGAAAAAAGAATTGGTTCAGCTAATGGTGTGAGTGTCCCAGTGCAATGTGTACAGCTGCACAGCGCTGGTTTTTAGCCAGTCCCTCTCTTAAAGTGCAGACATTCAATAAATATTCAAAACAGTATTATAGATGTTCTTATACATACGTATCTATTTATTGATTTAGGTAATTGCCTACATAATCTAGGTTTGTAGGTATTTGACATAAAAACATATCAGACCACATATGTTTGTTGTAAAACTAGAATTATATACGTATATACGTGAATGCAACTAGATTACCAATCATCAAGAGGTGTGTAATCATATTGAACCCTATTATATTCTCATAACTTTTATATTTGAATAACAAATACACAGGACAATAACCCTGCATTCCGTAGACATCAGTGGTATCCTTGTAAGGCGACGGACATCGCGACGCCCAGGTGCGCTGATGATTTGCGACAGGGCCGGCTTTAGTCTGATGCCCTGGGCAAAATGTTGGATGACAAACAAAGAAAGGCATATCGAGTGTGTTAACAGTGCTATTGTTATACTGATTCATCGACTACAGGAATTGCTACATTCCCTTCTAATAGTATTCGACAGTTTTTTTCTGGTTACACAGTCCTACTGTACAATACGAGTACAATTAATCTTAGCGACCCTATCGTGACGTGCCTCTCCTAGCGTCCCTAAATGTCTACCGTACTTACATCTACCATACACACACACCCTTAGTCCAATACTGCTTTGTGACATATTACTTCAATATATCTAAATAGGTATATTCATATATCTAAGTGCATTATTATGGGCATATGCATGTTCTCATACGCATTGTAGCCATCGGTATTCCGGTGTTGAATAATGTATTGTCATTGGAGAGTTCATATATCAAGGCCGCGTTAATATTCATGATACAAACTTGGTCTGCTCCAGTTTTATAGTGAATGACACTGCAAATTTAAATCAGTATATGTTCATTTTTAATGTACGTATAATTATACGTAATAAATGGAATGGATGACTTTATGCAATACTAGTTTTTATCCGCTACTCCGTGCATATGGATATTGGAAGTAAGAAAACCACAATAGCCTACTTCTAAATAGTGTATCAAGATAAATTATACATCAGACTTTAAATTGAATCTTCGAGAATACAATAACAATAATAAAACTACAACTATAGAATTGTTGAAACTGTAGTTTATTTTAAATATACTATCGGGACTTAACGCGATGGGAAATTTTTTACAGACAAATAATACTTACATACTTAATATTTTATTGTCGACATATGAACAACGCGAAAGTTTAAAATTAACTACTTTAAACTTTGCTGGAGAGTTAAGGAAAAAATATTTTCATCATGATTACGTATATAAGAAATGAACATAAAAAGCCACATATCCATATCCCATATTCTTAATAGACAAGACTGTAGCTATTGTTAATGTCTAGATATTTTTAGACTTGCAAACAACACAAAGGAACGTCTTGAAAGTTTTGCTGTCTGGGAAACTCAGACTTTCAATAGACTATTATAAAAAAAAAATAATAATAATGAGAGATCTTTTTAGCTGTTTAAATTTAGCAGAATCCTGCAAAATGTTTTTCAAGTGATTTTAGAACGTTATTAGATTAATGTTTTAAAAAATATTATCGCGGAATAATTAATTCGTTTATAAACATAATAGACTTAATTAATCAAGTCCTTCATGTTCATATTATAAAAACTTAAACCTGAGAAAATACATCTGTGTTTTATTAATAAGAAACCATGTTACCTGTGTGCATTATTATTCAACGCGTATCATTATTTTATTATGTCATTATTTTAAAGGTTATCGTAAATTCCAGTAGTTCGGCCCTAAAAATGCATAATTTAACATGTTGATAAAATTAAATGTCAGTTTCTGAATCTACTACGCAGTTATTTTAATTGAATGTTAATTTTAATTTCATAATATTGTGTTTATTAGAGACATGTATTCACAATTGTCCGAATCTGCAACGAGGATATCCTCAAAAGTGTGACTGACGTAGCCCGCAGGATAAGCAAACTGTTACTCAACTATGCATCACACTGATCGAATTTGTATGATCTTTGACACATAATCATTTTGTATATGTTGACAGTATTTTTCAACCACAATTTGGATTAATGTCTAGGATTATGATTACGACGGGACCTAACGTGATCGTTTAGGTAAACTATGATAATTTACCTGAGTTATCTCGACATTTCGATCAGGTTAGTTTGTATTAATCCACTCGTGACGACCATCACTGGCCGAGGTCACGAGTAGACTAAAGTAGCGCTGTCATGCCCCCGCTTCTGATGCAGAAGGTTTTTTTCTACCCACTCTTTGCCCTATATTACACACACTTGTTCCTGCAAATTTACTTAAACGATTGCGTTAATTCTAGTCCCTTATTAATCATAAACCATGCATTGCAAAAGTCTAAAAGTTAATAATGTATAGTATATTTATAACTCCGTTAATTAAATTCTCATTTAATGGACCTTATAAAACGAGATGTTGCGTTTATTTATTTTAATTATGGGTAAGAAAACTGTTACATGTACATTAAGCGAAAATTATAATTTTCATCAGGTTGGCCGTCAAACTTTTTCAATTAATTCAGACATTAATTAATTTTTTTGGTTATTTTTGCAGAATGAAAGAAGTTTTATTATGTCGCAATTATAAGATAAAAAAAAATATCTGTGAGGATTCTTATTATGTCTTAATTCACCTAAATAAACGCGATTCTTATATATGTTGTGGTGTAAAAAAATTTCTTAAATAAATAAATGATATGATTTAATAAATAAAAAAAAAAAATGAAAATTCACAATTGTTTATTTTATAAACAACTTAATTTGTAAACAATGTCATAACATTTGACTCAATTTTAAATACAACATTTCAATAGTATGTCAAATATCTACTTATTTAATACAATATAAACTAATATCACAGATAATAAAATATAACGACTATGTATACAATAATAATAATTATGTATGTTAATTAGCATTATGTAATAATAATATGAAATTTAATTTATTTTGTTACTGTTATTCTTAATTATTTATACATTTTTTTTTTATTTTGGGAGAGCATTTTTTATTTTTTAATAATCTTGAATACATTTTAATATCACAATCTATAAAAACAACTATTTTTAACATATATATGATATTCTGATGAAAGAATAAATTATTAATTTTTTTTACCTAAAATCACAATTTGTACATCAGAATGTTTGTTTGTTAAAACTTTAAACTATTGCACAGTTTTGAATTACTTAAATTGTAGATCGTAAAAATTTTGGGAAACTAAGTTTAATACAATTTTGACAAGAATTTTATAAAAAAAAAAACAATAAACAAAATAATAAAGCAAACTAAATGTTGGAAACAATGTGTTCATGATTGAACTCTATTCTATGTATAACATAAATATTTTCAAACACGTCTAAAATTTCTTTAGAACATTCCAACTTGATTATATTGAATTTAACTTAATTTCAGAGTTATTTGTAATATTATTACAAATGCTATCTTGGACAATATTTGAATTGAGGAAACAGAAAACAATGCAGCGACAGGAACCTGCAATAAAGAAATAGTTTCATTAAATGCATTTCATCTACCTTGCCATAAAATATTGGAAAGTCTAGATTTTAAAGAATTTCAAAGCAATATTCGAGGAGCACAATCATTCTTTTAGAGACTTTCTCACTATTAAGAAGTTATTTACGAATGCAGATAACTTTAAGTTTTTATTTTTATTTCTATTTTTGAAGTTACAAGTACAATAGAGTGTTAGTTATAAAAGAAACAATTTTCTCCAAGGAGGAATTTGAAATCTGAAAGTAATTTTTAAACTTTGCATAAATATTCATACGTAAATATAAATTAGTTGACTGAGTGCTGAGCATTAGATGCTAATACTAACCAAGATAGTACTGCACTGTCTTATACTCTTAAAGGAAAACATATATGTGCTTCGAGTTTCCTTACGAGGAAGATTAGAAAGAGAAGCCATCATAGTTTAATGGTAGGATATTTAGAGAAATAACACCCCTCCTCTACTCTAAATAAGGTAAACGTTTTGTCTTTTTTTTTCATGCGAGTGCTACCGAGAAACGTTTTTACTAGTAGTTTCGTTTGCACTTTGTCAAAGGAGCAGGTTTGATTGGATAACCGATGATAGGTTTACAATACAATGTCCTGTGGTAATTTTGATAGAACTAAATAAAAAATATAAAAACTCAAATGTATTACGTTACATTTGTATTATCTTTTGTATCGACATGAAATATAATTAAATAATGATTAATATTTTAATCAAAATCATTAACAAAGAACTTACCTAGTAGGATCATATCTGGTATCAAATCCAGGTACGTTGAGTACATTCCATTCGTCTTTCACCTTCGCGTAACTGAATGAGATCTGGTCACGGAAGGTCTCCGGTGCCAATAGCTTCATCTGCTCCAGGTGTGAGTGGAACTCCGGTACCAGTGTCAGGTTCTTCTTCATCAGATGTTCTGTATAAAACAGAGGTATGATACTACCAAGCAAACCATATAAGTGTAAAAGTTTATACCTGCGACTTAGCTCGCGTGATTGTAATAAAAAATAACCAATGTCTATTTCAACCGATTTAAAAAAGAAGGTTCTTGTAACTTCCGTCAGTTATGAATTGATTTGGAAAATTTATTTTTTTATCTGCAAGGGTGCACTTATAGATTGGTCATATAGAAATATTATAAAATTGGTTTAGTACTTTAGGTTTTAACTTAAATATTCAACGCATGAAGGAATTCATGGGCGACACAGTATACTCTGTTATGTCTATGGTACTACTGTTTACGTCTATAAGCGACAGTTACCAGCTTGTTTGCCATTCTAAGTTGCATAAAAAAATATAACTGGTTTTGCCATAATTAAAGTCAGTTTTTTTTTGTGAACCACAAGTTCAAATTATTTATTTTTAATGTTTCATTTAGGCGATTAATTGAGTGGTTAAGCTACCAAGTAGTAACAAACAAACAAATTAACAATCACTTTCACATTTACAATGTTTATAAGTATTATGTAACAGATTAAAACCGTATTCGAAAGCATTTATAATTTTGTTGTCTAACAAACATAAAGGGCTTGATAACTTTCTATTCGTACATAATGTATTGGAAAATATTGTATATATTGCAGCGTGACAAATAAGGAAAACCAATATAAATCTCAAAGTGACCTATGTAAATCAGTTTGACCAAATTTCCTACGATAAACCAAGGGACATCAGTTGTTTATGTGGAGGAATGCAGTTTGTGTTAAGGGTAAAATTGGAACTCGGCTGCGAATAACTTTTGAAATGTTTCACGCTTTTAGTAATCCATAAATCAATCAGAAATTGGGTTGTTTCTGTCAAATTTAATTTTGTAATACGAAGTTACCGTAGATATGTGAAATTTTTAGAACCAACTTTTATATTTTTTATGAAATACAGATATATATGTAAAAGTACAAAAGGCGGTCTTATCGCTAGGACAATCTCTTACGGACAACCTTTATTTATAAACGTATTTAGATCGTTTTTGTATCTTGGTTCTGCTTCTGCGTTTTTTGTATATGATCAGATACAAAATTAATATTAATAAATAATTTATTATAAAATTGATATGATTAATGTTGATTCTCACCAATTATAAATCCCATGGAGACGTCGTCTGGTAACCGTATACCCTCACAAATACTGATGAATCTGCCGCCGCTGCAACAAACAAATCTTTTAGACTGTATCTCACGAAAAAGTCTTTCGGATAAAAAGTGTAGTTTCACTTTATTACATTGAGAATAAGATTCAATTTTAAATGTCATAATTTTGTTTCAAAATTGTAGTTAAAATATTTAATCGTCTTATTTGACAATATTTACTTTTATATATATATAATAATGATATATAAGTAAATATCTATTCAAAATAAGTCTACAGCTTTGTCATAAGAGCTATTGAGTTATTAAAACTAATATAAAGAGAAAATATTTGGTCTTTCGTTTGTAATCAAATCTGTTCTCTTATCTCAAAAAACTACTTAACCGATTTTAAAAATTCTTTAATTTATAGAAAGATAAAATGTCAGCACATAAATTGGATATTTCAGTTAAAAAAATCGGACGAAGCCGAAGCGGTTTACTAGTATGTAATATAACACAATAACGTGTAAAGTTGTGGAGTGCTATTTAACAGTACTTAGCAGAATAAATACAAACCTGGCAACAGGTAACATTTTCAGCGCTAAACTTCTGCTGATGCAAAATCCAGCACCGCCGGTGGCGAACCAAAACGAGAACATTAACTGTAACAAATTGTGACGTCTAAAACTTTCATAAATACAAAAGCAGGGAAAGGTAACTCCGAAATTTGGGCGGATTATGTTAAATGGCTTCACGCAAAACGGGCTTGTTTCCAAGAATTAGTAACTAAAATATTTGCTAATTGAAGAACATTTCACGATTTTGTATTGATGTAGAAACGATTGATGCCTGTTCCCTTTTTTCAATCGTCCCTTAATAAACAACTTATGAAATATTTAGATCATTATTACAGTTCAATATATTTGAATAAAACTTCGTACAATATTACTACTAGATTAACACAGGTGTAGTATATTTTATACTAATTTACACGAACAAATCCGTATACTTTAAATAGTAAATGAGGATAGCACAAAATACTATGTGCAGTACTTCGTTTTTAAAGGTTTTTATGCGAATTTATAGCACGATAATAAAAGTTCATAACTATAGACTATTTACTGTGCCACGGAAACGAATCGCGTAAATAAGATAAAATTGATCCTGTTGGATTCTAATATACTCAGCGAAATATGGATTTATCGAGCGTTACAATTATCACAATGTCAAGTGTTTTTATACTGTTTGGTATAAAAGAACATTTCGATCTTAGAACCTACTTACTTTCATTTACAGTTGCGTCTACAGTCTGCGTTCAATTATTTTTAAAGCATGATTTAGGAAAAAAAAAAATTTTTATATGCAATTTAGAATGGCAAACAAGCTGACATTCCACCTGATGGAAAGTAATAACCGTCGCCTATAAACATGTACGGTACTATGGACTAAGTACTGTTACTATAAGTAGTGTCAGATGTATATCAATAAATACATAAATACACACTTAAAAAATTATCCTTTAGAGATATATGCTTACAGTACAAGATTATCTGAAATCCTGATATGTGTGCTCTCAAAATATATAATTTGGCATGTTAAATTATTCATTTGAGTGTCAATATTTATATAAGGGCCATGGCAGTTAGTTTGGCGACATTTTTAGACAGTTGTGACAGGTTGCCTAGCAGATGTCAACCCTTCTCAAGAGTCGGAAGTCAATATTTGTATTATCATATTTATAAAATCAGAGGACATTATTTATTCGAGATTTTTTTAAAGGTAATTTTTTGTCTGGCCAATAACAAATAATTGGAAGTATGCTTATATTTTTTTAGAATATATAAGATTAGTCGTACTGAAAATAATATAATATAAAAGTAATATAAAATATTTATATAAAAGTGATATTAATAATATAAGTAAGCCAAAACCTAGAGATAGTATTTATGAAATTGAATAACATTCTCAAAAGAGAACAGACAAAATCTTATATATTATATTTTTTAGAACTGTTATAATATTTTAGATATTTTTATTTTATTTTCGTGAAGGACTAAGAGAAAAAAAAAGTGTTATAACATTTTTGAACTGTTCATTTATTATCGTGACGACATAAGAGAAGAAAGTGTCGTAACATTTTGAAATTTTTAATTTTATTCTCATGACGGAATAAGAGAATAAAGTTTTATAATATTTTTAAACTTTTAATTTTATTATCATGACGGCTTAAGAGAAAAAAATATGGCTACTTTTGTCTAGCAGTGGAACATAATGATTTGTTAAGATAATGTACCTTGTTAGTAGGTTTCTTGTACAGTTTCACTGGTTCATAGATGGATGTCCGTCCAAGATACCAGTCTTCTTGGTGATTGTATTTTTGTAATACGCTGACGAGACGAGGCACGTTCACGTAGTTGTCGTCATCGAAATGACAGAACCATCTAGAACAAAAATATATTTTATAGCAGTGTTCGGAGATATAACCAATCAATCCACCAATCAATTAATCTGTTATATATTTTCTGTAAGATAAAAATAATTTTTCAAATCGGTTTACAACTGACGGAGTTATGAGGTAACAAACATAAAAAAAATAATACCGAATTAAGAACCTTCTTCCCTGTCACTCGGACAAAGTCACGTTTAAAAGCTAATTAGTAAATAAAAGTGTCTGAGATATTAAAGAGACACCACCTAATTCAAAATTTCAAATATAGAATAGTTATAATATTATTATCATTAACATATCTGCCGTTAACTTTCTACTGTTGAATATAGGTTTTGCCAATAGTTACCACGCTTGGCAGGCGAGTTGGCAACAGCAGTTAGGTTTCGTATTAAGTGGTACGCTACTGTGCATCCTTCGATCATTCAGTTCCCTAAGTCGCCTCTTACGACACCTACGGAAAGGAAAGGGTCACACATTCTATACTGGGACCACACGGTGATTATTGAATATCGATATATCAGATATCATATCATAGTATAATTTATATACGATCATTTTTAATAACCGTATTATAAAGATTAATGTTACAGATAATATAACTTTGTACACTACGCTTACAAAGTAAAAAGAAAAAAGAAAAGTCCGTACAGACATTTAATCATCTATACTTATACGACCAACAATTTATACGGTATTTCAAACCAGCATTATAAGTCTTGAAAGTTATCAGCTGCCGTAGAAGGCGTAGTACGTACCTATATATTAAATAAATAATTGCATGATTGTATATGGAGTTTTGCTTGGTGCCAATAATTAGTACTGCAGTGTAATTTTGCGGCATTATGTTGGGCGCAAATAACAGCAGCGCCTGCGCAATCGGCGGCCACCACTGAGTAGTTTTATATAGAGCGACCATGTGTGTAATAATAAAATTGGTAATCTAAAAAATCATTAAATCATTCGTAAATTCTACTTTTTTATGTATCATCACTTGATAGGTAATAAATATGGATGTTCATATATCATAGTTTGTTATGAAGTAAATAAAGTAATAACAATATGTATTAAGTAACGCTTGCGCGGTCTATCTATTTTATATTTTCTTATTTGATTATGTATACAGGACATGAAAAATGGATAATATTTGATATAAACATTTAAAAAGGACACAGGTAACTTATATTTCGGACTATCAATAAATTACGGTCACGTTAAATTAGGTATTTGTGGACATAACATGTAAATATGTGATTGATGAAATATTATATTTATAATAATATCAATTATAAGAAATATAAAATGTAATGACGTGAAAGCAGTTACGGATAAAGCTTGTAAAATATAACAGATACAATATTTTTATTACTTGCATTAAAAATTTTTTTATGCAACTTAGAATGGCAACCAAGCTGACGGCCCACCTGATAGAAAGTGGTAACCATGGACATAACTATATACTGTATCGCCCTTGATACCCTTCATGTATGTATATATATATTAATATTTCTATCAATTTAGCTAAAACGGCCAGTTCATCTCAGTGGTCCATATTGCATGACACACGACAAATGGCCAAGAGACGCTAACTCATAATCTATATCGGACTTCAATGTATTGAGTTAAGCTTTGCGAAATTATATCGCCAGTATTTCTTACAAGACAGATGTTTAATAACAGCCGTTAATTCTGAATTGCAAATCTTAATTGGATAACGGTGCAATGGAATAATTAAAATGTTAAACAATGTTTACGTAGCGGTCGATTTCGGTCTATTTCTTAGTATAAATAGTAAACGCCAAACAACCACGACAAATATTTGGTATACTTAATTGTTTATTTATAGAAGTATGATAAAGAGTAATTGGAACTGAAGGGTTGTTCTTGAAATTAATTCCAATTGGTCGATATTGAAAAAGTAATGCTACTTATGCTCGATTTGCAACACTAGCGACATCGCATTATCATTAAAATAATCAAAATTATATTGTTTTATACATATATATAAACAGCAATATTACTATAATATTTAAAACATCTCTAAAGCCTGACTGCGGTCGCCAATCTGTCTGCCAAGCGTGGCAACTACTGGCAAAACCCCCCAAGGGGGAGGCTTATGTTCAACAGTGGACAGTTAAAGGCTGATAATGATTAAAGGCTGCAATTTCGTACGCGTGGACATGTAACATGCTGGTAAGTAACCACTTCTAGATGGTGTATCAAGGTACTACATATATTAAATTTTAAATTATATAGTATCAGCAACACAACCATGAAAACTGCATTGTATTTTGTGCAGTAATTTTTACGTGATACTGGATAGACAGAGAAAATAAAAAAAAAAAAATAATATTTGGCTTCTGTTTCTCCTATTGTGAAACACAGTACATATTTTTTTTTTAAATAACTGCCAGGTACAGACATGGTCCAGTTATAATACTGTAACATTAGTAAAACTACGTTACAAAATATGAAATCATTAATGCATTAAAACGTTTACCCTAATGACTCTTTTTAGGCATTTAGAGAACAATTTATGTATGTGGAGCTGTATGGAATAGCTAATTAAATGCGGGCGCCGTAACTGGCAGATATTTGGCACTGGACGTGGACTGGGATTATCTGAATTAAGATTTAATGTATATCTACTAATAATACTAGCTATTGTCTATAACTTTGCTTGATCATAAAAACCCATAGGCATTTAAATACGATTATGCCAGGTTAAAGATGAATGTACGAAAAGATTGATGAATGTGAAAGAAGAGAAGGAGGTTTGTTTGAATCGAAGCATTTGGCGTTCAATTGTTTCTGTATGGGAGATAGGTGTGACAGATATGTATGTATGTATACCAAGTTAATATTAAATATAAGATTGCTGTGGTCCCGGTACAGAATGGGCCACCCTTTCCATTCCTGCGGGTGGCGTAAGAGCCGATTAAGGTAACTTGATTGTCAAGGGATGGGCGGTTGTTAACCTGCCTGCCAAGTGTGGCAACTACTGGCAGAACCTTATGCTCAGCAGTGAATAGTTATCGGCTGATATAATAATAATATCAAATTAAATAGATTGGTATATTTGTTATATGGACATAGCTTACTATTAACACATGCCCTGGCAACTTGATATAATGTTTCTTATTGATTATTCCTTTTATTGTTTTGATGTTATAGTGTTTTATTTTGTAGACTTTATGATTTTCTAGGGTTAAAAATGAGTAGTGATACATTTTCTTATTTCGTCAGCAGAAGCAGAATAAAAAATATCCTACGAGTACGTCTTTATCCAAATTATGATCTGTGTACCAAATTTCATTTAACAAATGTCCAAATGTCTACAAACTTAAAAGACCTGCTGCTTGTACTCTGGGGATATTTAAAAAACTTTTCATTTAATTTAAATTATAAATAAAAAAATACATTTGAATTGAGAACCTCTTTCTGTTTGATAATAGTAATAATATATATCATATTATATAGACTCCACACGAACCTTGTGTTATCCAGTCGATATAAATATAACATAGCTAATACTCGTATGTATAATAAAATTATCCTTTGTCTTTTTTCAATGTCCTCTACCCAAAGGTCGTCTGGAAGAGATTGCTTAGTGATAACACCGCCTATCATAGTATCATTTTTCATTACAATTAAATGTATTTACTATTTTTATAAATGGCTCAATAAAATAAATAAATAAATAGGTAAATAAAATTGTAATGTAATGTAATTGTAAATGTATTGGCTTCTATTGGTTTTACTAAGACTTATTGATTTTTAGTATATATTTCTTGTATCACTCAAGAACTATTGCACTATATTGTATACGGTTTTATAATTGTGTTTTAAAAGATAAAATTAAAATTCTGGTATATATTTTATTTTATTTTTTTATACAACTTAGAATGGCAAACAAGCTGACGGCCCACCTGATGGAAAGTGGTAACCGTCGCCTATAGACATGAGCAGTACCATGGACTTAACAGAGTATACTGTTTCACCCATGATGCTCCTCATGCGTTGCCATTCCTGAGGACTCAGGTGTTATTCCTCTGTACCCAGTAAATTCACGCCATATCCCACCCTTCAAACCGAAATACAGCCATGTAAACACAACTGCTTCACGGTTAAAACACGAATGGGACAGAGGTACCCAAGCAATCGACTTTTGTACAAAGTCTCCCTTTTGGTATGCTACCTAGAAGTGCTCTATTTAATTAGTTTTCTTAATTCTAAAACGAAATTCATGCATACGAGGTAGTTAATAAATAATTATTATGGTGGTCATACTATCAAAGCCTATTTTACAGTATTGCTTTTGTAACTTTTCTTATACTATAATAGTGATGGCAAACAAGCATGGCTACCATATATTATAGACGCCTGCAACACCAGAGGGGAAACGTTTGTTCTGTGGCCCTATAGTAAACCTTATTACGCCCTTTTTCAAGAACCCCATAGCGTAATCTCTAGGGAAATCCTCGGCAGGAGGCTCACGCCCTGATTTTATCAGGTCCACTTATTTATTTAGAGGCTTCTGTCCTATGAGGACATTTCACTCACATTATCCTGAATCTTATTAATTATTATTATAAGTATAGATAATAAAATTGAAACTAGACGATGACTGTATATGGGGGGCTACTTAAGAAAGAATAATAGAAAGTAAGACTTAAGGGACGGCAACATCGAAAACTTTAAAAAATCTAGAAATTTTGTCTGCCTGTCTGTACGTCTTTCTGTCTGTACGTCTGTTTGTCTTTCTGTATGTTTGTTCCCGCATCACGCAGATACTATTGTACCTAATTGGATCTGGTTTTCATAGTTGTGTTCCTGAAGGTATAACTGTTTTCTTAACAATATACTAGCTGACTTGTCAAACTTTATTTATTCTCTACCGCTACCTACCTATTTTTTCTTATTGGGACAAAACTATCCTATCTCCCAAGTTGCAACAAACAATGTCTATCTTACAATAAAAAATATTTTTTATGC